TCCGGCAGGTAAAAAACGTTAAAAAAACCCTGTCGGCCACTTGAAAAAACGGCTGTCAGGCGCCGTGGCCTAGGTTTCTCACTGCGCGGGAATTCAAATCCTCGTCCCTCCTAGCAACTTTCTTTTGAAAAATTTTCGCTTTTAACGGCATTTTTCGGGGATTTCGGATTTTTTTCGTCTTTAAAGTTGGCGAGAAACGAGAGTGTCTGCGTCTCTAATCTCCCAACTTTGAATGACTGCTCAAAATGATCCGATTTTTGAGATTTTTAGTGGATTTCATAGGGAAAAATAAGAACATTTTGATTTTATAAGTTTCAGAAAAGTTTCACTTTTTTGGGGTTTTCAAAATGTTTTTGTAACCTAGGCATCAAAAAATGTGTTCTCTTTTTTTCGAGGACCCCCAATTTTTATTGTTAGGACAACAAAAAATTGGGGGTTGGTACACAAAAAAAAAACGACAAAAAATGGAGGAAAATTGTGGTAGGAAAAGGAAAAGGCAAATAAAAAATGAGTCAAAAAAGAAATTGGAGGGGTGAAAATGGGGGAAAAATGGAAGGGACATGTATATTTTTTATGTTTTTGTTTACAGAAAAAAGGGATCTGAAAATGAAGAAAAAAATTAGAAGGAGGTGAAATTTCATCTAGGTGAGAGAATATTTAAATTTTTTTCAAAAAATTGGAATTTCAACAAAAACCTTTCTGGAATTCCTGAAAACCGTTTGTTTACGCTCCTCCGTGGTTAAACCTCCTGAGCTCCGCTTTCAGTACCCGTAATCTTTTTCAGAAAAACTTTTCGTTCAAGGTATAAATTCGGAAATTCGGAAATATAGAAATTCCTAATTTGGCAGCTTCTCTGAATGTTTAATTTCCCACAAAAAACACATTAAAAATACGCAGCAAATGTTACATTTATTTATCCCGGACCCTGGATTGATTCCGGATTCCGGACCCTGAATTCCGGATTCCGGACCGCGGATCCCGGATTCAGTACTCAGGCTCTCCGGATTCCGGACTCCGGATAACGGATTCCGGATTCCGGATCCCAGATCCCTTCTCAGGGCTCCCCATTCTGGAGCCCAGAGAAGTTGAGAACTGATTCTTTCCTTCACTTCCCTCTTCCTTTATAGTTTTTTCTTTGAGGTCAATGGGTCATTTAGAGTCGTGAGTTTTTCTGAATAATTTTTTCTCATCACGTTTAAATAACGCTTAAATTTTTTCCCTTTTGAAATCTGTGAAATTCCATAAAAAGAGCATTCATTCGAACCTGATTATCTCGTTTCCTGTTTGAGATATCGAACATGTGTCTACTGATAAAATTTTCCTCGTAATATCAGTAAAATTTTGTCAGAAAATCATTTTTTGAGCTCTTATACAAGAATCGAGATAAATTATAATAGTTTCAGTGTGGGGTCTCTTTGAAGCCAATCAAGGATCAAAAAAGAATTTCGAGCTTGAAAGCGGTTGAATAATAAAGTTCCAATCTTCTAGAATACCGTGGATTAGAAAACTCTCATTTTCTTTTCCACATTTTTCCCATGTCAGGTAAATGAGGTTACCTCAAACATAGATGGACCGCGTATTAGTGGGATGCCCAAAAAACAGGAACTTTGCTATGGTCAGAGCTTCCGGGTCTCCAGAAGACTTCAAAATCAAAATTTCGAAAAACGAAAAGTTCGGGCATCAACTAATGAGAATTTCTGATTCGTTTGTGCAGGTTTCAACTCAATCAGTTAACTTTAAGTGGGTGTAAAGGCACGCTACATCTATCCGGACATACAGAATTTGCTGAATTTTATTAGTAATGATGATTGAGAAACAGAGAATTTCCGATTTTCAGAATTTCTGTGTTTCTGGAATTTATGGAATTTCGGTAATTCAAAACTTTCAATTTTAAATTTTAAAAAGAAACAAAATCAGTGGCACTTTATTGAGACAAACAATTTTTTTCACAGACAATAAATAACTCAAACTCATGAAATTCAAAAAAATACATAAATAAAAAGTTCAAAGGTTCTAACAGTCTACAAAAACATATTCTCAGTTTTTTTTTTGAAAAATAACATTTAAAAAAATTCAAAATGGGACTCGTTTAAAAATTGTATTTGTTTTGTCCTTAATATCCATAATATATTTGTTTTTTAGTAATCGAAAGGTGACTAAAATGCATAAAATCACTAGAAAAACGTTCAATGTGCATAGAATCCATGTCCATAGTTTGTAGGAATCAATGATGTGATGCAGTTTTTGGACTTCTGAAAAATTGAAATTCTGGAATACTGAATTTCTGGAATTTTGAACTTTCGATTTTCAGAGTTTTTAGAATTTTTGAAGTTTGGAAATTGTGAATTCCTGATTTTCCGAAATTTAAATAAATTCGAAAAATTGGAACTTGAGATACTCAGAAAAAAAACGGATCGTTCTGAAAACATTCAAAATAAAAAAAAACAGAAATTTAGAAATACGGAATTTTCAATTTGCAAAAATTTTCTGAAACTTCTGAAATTTCGAAAATTCAAAACTATTTGTTCTGAAAATCTGGAAAATTGAACAATTCAAAGATTACCGTAGTCCCGATCCACAACCAACGGCTCGGCTTCCACTTCCAAATAGTTTTTTTCTTGATTTTCAAAATTTTCTTCTTCATGTTTCCAGCTATCATTCATCATATCACTCCTCCGTCTTCCCATCGAAATTTCCCCGAAATTCGTAGCTCCGCCCACTTCTACAGTATGATTCTCCGATTTTTTCACTTTCATCAACTCGTGAATTCTGAGCAATCGCTGCTCAATCGACAGTTTTTCAGAGGTATTTTGAAGCGCTCTCCTCGTCTTTTTGACTGATTTTTCTCCAATTTTTTGGGATTTTGTGCATTTTGGAGGCTGAAAAATTGGATTTTTTCTTGGTTTTCTGAATTTGTCACGTCTTCTGATGTAGAATTCAAAGGAAATATTGTTTTTGGGGTCACTTACCACACTAGCTCTACATGATGGATCGACGGCGGAACAAACGGAAATCATGCATTTGAAATGAACATGATTCGAATTTGCGAATCTGGAAAAATTGAATTAATATTGAAAGAAATTGATGAAAAACAAGGAATTTTGGGAAAAGATTCAAAAAACAAACAGGAAATTTCAGAAATTGAAAAATTCAGAAATTCGGAAAACTGGAGAAATCAGAAAATTCAGAAAAAAAGTTTTCAGAAACTCGGAAAAATTGAAATTCAGAAACTTTAGAAATGTCAAAAGATTCCGAAACTATGAAACTCAAAACTACATCCAAACCCACCTAAAAGCTTTACTTGGCGTATAAATCACCCCATTCTGAATATCATATTCAGGCGTTGGTATGATTTCTTCATCCAACGAACATCCATCATCATCAATTATTGAATACGTTCGATTTTTCAGATCATGAACAACACAAGAATAAACCTTGAAAATGAATTCAGGCGTTTGACGGATACGACTCCCACGGTACAAAGGAGCAGCACACTTCCAGCGATGATAAATCTGAAATTGATTTTTGGAAACTGAAACACTTGAATTTGTTGAAAAAATTTCTACAAAATGAGCCAAAAATCAAAATTCTAGCTTTATTTTGAAGGGAGTTCTGGTCTTTTCAAAAGTTGTATGACTTTTTTGAGCAAGATTTCTCTGCGTCTCTGATCTCCAAACTTTGAAGCGCTGTATCTCAGCTCAAAACAGTCTTTTTTTAGGTTTGCCTGACCAATCTTTGTATGATTTTCATTTGTATTAAATTTCCTATAAAACTAGCCAAAAATCAAGATTCTAGCTCAATTTTCAAGCGAGTTATGCACCTTCAGAGTTTGCGAGAGCGCAGTGAAACGAGAGTGTCTGCGTCTCTAACCTCCAAACTGTAAATGGCTGTATCTCCACTCGGAATAGTCCAATTTTAGTGAGTTTAAAGTTTTGAACAGGAAAGTTTGGAGAATCTCATTTAAAAAAATCTTACCACTTCTCCAACATGTGCCGACGCGGTCCGTGGGCCCCCAACGCGATCATGATGCAGAGAGTATTTGCATTTTGGTCCGATTTTCGTTTGAACAGATGATGAAGATAGTGTAGTGGTTTGCGGTGTTCTGGAAACTTTTTTTTTGCAGAAAATATAATTTTTTGCAGTTTTTTTCATAAATAATTGATTTGTACATCTGAAGTCATGCAACCTGACATCACGACAGATCGCGTGTGACCTAGATACAAATAATTCTAGGGTCCGTAAAATACCCATAAAAACAAAAAAGTACATATAATCATTTTTCTTACATACATAATATCATATGAGGCTTTGACTTCCATTGTTTTGAGGTGAAGGGAGCAGGTGACGTCGTAGATTTTGTCGTAAACGGTAGGTTCAGTGGGATTATGAGAAACAATTAGACGGATGGAGTAGGTCAACGAGGTGGAGGGGATGCCCTGGAACATCGACTCTGTGGAAAATTTTAATTTCTGAATTTTCGAATATTAGAAATTCAGAATTTCAGATATTCCGAAATTTCAGAATAACCGAATATCAGGAACTTTCGAAATTGAGAATTTCAGTTATTTTCAGCCAATTTTCTCACCTTATAAAGCCTCCTCACACCACATGGTCCATCGATTCGGGTCACAAATTTCGGTTCCAATTCCAATGAAAATCGTCTCAAACAATCCGGATGATTCGAGTGATCAGCCGAAAAAATTCGAATATCCGCGAAATTTTCGTTCAGTTCCAAACCGATTGTTTCAGAGTTGCAGATTACGGTAGGTGTAAAATTTGTGGGTTCTGAAAAACTATTATGACAAGTTTTTTGAAAATTTATTTTTTCAACAATTGAAAAATCCGAAAATTCAATAAACTCTTACCTTTCAAAATCTCAAAATTCTGTTTCGAAAATTTCTGTGGAGACCTCCGCAGCTCATAGAATTTCGCTCCATTTAACGAATTCTGGGTCATGTGGACGATGGCAGATGACGTGGCGAATTTTGTGAAAATCAGAATGCAAAATGTGAAAAATTGAAATTTGTACATGTTGTTTTTGAAAATCTGAAAATATGAAATAAATGAATTTTTTGCAAAAATTGCAAAAATTATTAAAATCTAATGTTGGGGGAATTCTAGACAAGGACAATTTGAAGTGATTCGGAAATCCAAAGAAATTTCCATGGCAGGCATTTTTGAAGTACCGAAAAACGAAAAAAAGAAAGAGAAAAATAAAACGGTCACTTGAGAAAACACAGAGAAATGGATAACATTTTTCGGGATGAAATTAACAAAAAAATGATGAAAAAGACTGGAAAAATGGGGGACAATGATGATTGGTCAGATATAGAAAGTAAAATTGAGAATAAATTTTATGGAAAAAAAAGACAAGGATTCGGAAATTAGAAAATTTGGAAACTCGAATAGGATACAATAACTCATAAATGTTTTTAAAAACCAGTCGGTTTACGCCCCTACGAGGCTAAAACCAGCAAATGTTACTTTTATTTATTATGAAAATAAGGATTTCAAGAATAAATGACGAGATCACAGGACCCAGGACCCAGGACCCAGGTGAATCGGTTAACTATGAGTAAAATTGAGGTAGTCCGTAAAAGTTGAACTTAAAAATGAAATCCTGAAACTTGAAATTTGAAAAATTACGAAATTTTGGAAATTTGGAATTCGAAATTTGTTTTTGAAATTTCATACCAAAAATAACGCAAAAACCATAAAATAATATATCCTTAAACATTCTCTAAACAAGAATTCTCCTTTTCGTAGTATACTGTACAAATACATTTGTATATTTACAAGAGTAAAATACATAAATGTATAAATTTCTGTTTCTTCCCGAAGATTCATCTCCTCCTCGTGTAATGTATCTCTCCATGTAGTACTAACCCAGTTCACAGACAAATCATCGAAAATAGAGAATTTTTTGTACAGAGAACATTTGAACATAAAAAAAGAAAATTGGCGTAGCGGAAAACCGAAATGAACTATTATAATTAGAACGGTGGTGACCTTAAAATGAGAAGAAGAAGAATGAAACAATTATACCAGGGAATTTCTGGTTAAATGAAAAAAAAATGTTGAGGAGATGTACAGAAATTTTTATGATGGATTTGATGGATTTTCTGGGAGAATTTGACCTTGGACAGACATTTTGGAGACATGGAAATTAAGGAATATTAAGAATTTAGGTTTTTTTTTGAAAATTTTGATTTAAAGAAAAAACTGCTGGCTTACCAGAATTTTCAGAGTTTCAGAATTTCAAAATCTCAGAATCTCAGAATTTCAGTATTTCAGAATTCCAAAATCTTAGAATCTCAAAACCTCAGAATCTCAGAACCTCAGAATCTCCGAATCTCAGAATCTAAGAATCTCAGAATCTAAGAATCTCAGAATCCACGTATCTCAGAACTTTAGAATGCATAATTTTCGAATCTTCAAAACATCAAAATCTCAAAATCTCAGAATCTAAGAATCTCAAAATCCGCGTGACTCAGAACTTTAGAATCCATAATTTTCGAACCTAAGTATCTTCAAAACTTCAAAATCTCAACATTTCAAAATCTCACGACTTCAAAAAACATTTCAGAAAAATTCCAAATTCAAGATTGTTTTTTCTGGAAAAAACAATCCCAGACATGTGTACATACATATAACTTTTTTTCTCCAGATTCTCGTGAATACGAACAAACAAATGGAACCTCACGAACACTTTTCTTCGGATTCTCTTGTTTTCTCTTTGCCCTTCACATGTATAAGAGTAACAATTGTTATACATTTTCGCACTAGTTTACACATACAAAAAAATTATAAATAAAAAAAAGTAGGAATATGTAGTTCAAGTGGTCTTTTTCTTTTTTGTAACAGTTTAGAACTGAATTTCACTTTGTACAGTGTTTAAAAAAAGAGAGGGACTTTTGAAAACTTTGGCCAACGTTTTCTAGATTCTTGTAAAAGATACCAGAAAAATTTCAGCGACAAATATGTTTGCCTTGATATAAGAAACCTTTCATCAGTTTAAAATATTTTGATATCTCAAACAGGAAACGAGATAATTTGGGTCAAAAAAGGATCACTATAAGGAGTTACACAGATTTCAAAAGTGAAAGTTCAAGTGTCATTTTAGCGTGACGAAAAAAAAATATATGCGTAAAAACCAATTTAAAAAATTATAGAATCAAGAAAACTACGTGGAATGATTCAGAAGCCTACGACCCATTGGTGTCCCAATGACCCCAAGAAGAATACTATAAAGGAAGAGAGAAATGTAGAGAAGGATCAGTTCTCCCGTCTCTGTTCACCTGGGTCCTGGGTCCTGGGTCCTGGGTCCTGGGTCCTGGGTCCTGGGTCCTGGGTCCTGGGTCCTGGGTCCTGGGTCCTGGGTCCTGGGTCCTGGGTCCTGGGTCCTGGGTCCTGGGTCCTGGGTCCTGGGTCCTGGGTCCTGGGTCCTGGGTCCTGGGTCCTGGGTCCTGGGTCCTGGGCCTGGGTCAGGCTTTGAAGAGAAACTGGTTCATGAGCAAGTTGAAATGCTGTTTAAGGATCTAGAAATGAGCGTGGTGTTCTAAAGAAATCTGATGTGAAATTCAATACAATTTTTTTTCAATTCCAGGAACGGACAGCCGACGATTCATGGAGTGTGATGAGAAACAGGATCATTCGGAACGCTTCTCACGGTTCAGACTGAAAATAAGAAAGAACTGAAGTTATTGATCTTACCGTATATTTGTGAAATATATTTAAATAAATGGTAAAAATGAAAAAAATAATTACTATAAAAAATCAATAGTTCAAAAATTATCCCAATCTTGGCATTCCTGACACACAATTTGCCTCCAGACCGCATTCATTGACGCCTCTGAGAACACGGAAAGTACCTAAAATAGAATTTTTTGAATAATTTTTCGACTGCGTAGCTGTTAATTTGTAACTTTTTTAGAACACGAATAACTTTTTTCCCAAAACTTACCATTTTCTCCCCATTGCTTGCCCCATGAATTCGCCAAAAGCCAATATGGTACACCTTCGTACATTCCCCATCCGAGAATTCTGACCGACAAATGTCCCTGTTTATTTCCAGTCAAATGAACGTAAATGCCAGTGGTATACTGTAGAAAATCATCGTAAACTTCCATGGTCGCAGAAATCGGTCCGTTCAACATGACGTCACTTTGAATTTCGATTTGACGATTTGGCAATTGGTCCACGGAAACTCCTGCAAATGGCGAGTATTCAGAAATTGAGAAATTCAGAATATTAGAAATTCCAAAATTGAGAAATTAAGAAATTGACTTTGTCTTAATTTTGTCTAAAAAATAAAACTCTTACCATAATGTCGATCTTTATCCAATTCCACTGGATAACCAGATTTACACTTTTTCTCACAACTCGGAGTCTGTACAGTTGAATTTAAGCATCCAGGAAATGTGATATTTCCGATTACGGTATCACACGGAGAAATGGAATATGGTTTGCATCCGAATTGAGATTCATATGATCCACCCGTTGGTAGACCGTGCTTCTGCCAGTATTGCCACGCTTTGAATACGTTTCCGCCAGCGCATCTGGAATTGGTAGATTTCGAATTTCCGAATTCCGAAATTTTAGAATTCTGAGATTTAGGTTTCTGAAGTTCTGCTATCCTGGGTTTTCAAAATTCTGAATTTTTGATGTTCCAAACTTTTCACGAGTTTCCAGATTTCTCCGAGCTTCCAGAATTTCTTTATTGAATTTCTGACATCTAGGTTTTCGGAATTTCGAATTTCTGAATTGCCAATGCTCTGAATCTCTGAATTTTGAAATTGTTGAATTACTAAGCTTTGCAATTCTTAGATTTTTAATTTTATGAATGAAATTCTGAAATTCTGAGCGTTTCAGAATTTCAGAATTTCCAATTTTTCCACTTAATGTTTTTGGAACTTCAGAGTTCCCATTTTTATGGAAGTTTTTTGATTTTTAAAATATTTAGAATTCGAGATTTTTCAGATTTCCGAATTTTTGAACTTTTGAGTTTCAAGTTTTTTGAACTTTCGAAGATTCTGAATTACTGAATTTCTCACTTTTTAAATTTACGAATTTTAGAAGTTTTTGGCATAATTTTTTCTACGGTGCACTTTTTCGTATTTAAAAATAATATTGATAAGAAAATCAATGTTTTAAAAAATTGATCGGATTAAATGAATACTGAAAAAGTGCAGACGAATCAAATTGAAAATTTGGAAATTTTGAAATTCGAAAAATCCAAAAATCAGAACTACCAAAAAAAACCAAAAAACCCGAGAATCCGATAATCTGAGAATCAAAAAATTACAAAAACCCAGATTACTTTTTTAGAAATTCGTAAGAATTTTAACATTGAAATCTTTCGGATGACCTAGATTCTTCAATTTTCGGATTTCCAGGCCACGCCTACTGTTGTCGAGTCCACGTGGCTATTCACCGACTCAACAACTTTAAGATATTCTGAGGACCTCTAGGCCCAGCCCACTGTGCTTACTCCTCAGAAATCTTACTATTTCCCACTTTATTCTCTTTATTTTCCTTTGTTTTTTAGTCTTTTATTGCTTTCTCATATTCAAATTCCCGCCATTTTTCTCTCCCTTCGTGCAAGCGCGCCCTATCGTTGAGGTCTCGCCACGAAGGGGTTAAAGGCGCACACTCACTCGAAACGGGTTCTCTGGCCTACATTTACTCAGATTAACTGAGTCTTACTCAGTCTAATGCTAGTCTAGTTGTTAGTGCTGTTCTGTTACGTTTCACATCATTCTTGCGAGTCTATCTGCTTTGTTGCGTCATTATTCCTACTATTCCTGTACATAAGACCTCTATCGATCCATGATCGATCAGACCGGCCTTATTGGATTATCGGATACCTTTAATGACGTAAGTACGCTACAGCCCTCTTTTTCTGAGTAAACTAACGGCCAGTTCTGTGACCTGTTTCATGAGTGTTTTCCTTTCAGTGCTCTCATCGTGACCACTAGGAAGCGTGTGCTATTGGGAACTTTGTCTATGAGAAGCGATAAGCTTGTCACCGGTAGGAGAAGGGTTTTTGTTGCCCAAGGCTTTTTGCCCCTTCAACTATTGAGTGATCAGTGATGCCCTTCTCGTCCGTCTCCAAGCCAGCCCGACTCCAAGGAAACCTCTTATTGACGATATGTTCTCTTTATTAAATATATACTGCTCAATAAATGGGTTACTGATACTACTGTTGTTATTATTGTTTCCACACCGCTTATCTGCCCGCTCGTCGTCCCACTCCTCGCTACAGACATAACTAGTTCCCCTGCTACCGATGCACTTTCCCCTATTTTACCAGACAGCACGCACAAGGAGGTAGCTTGTTTCTCTGGAGCCGTCACGGGGAATCCAACACTCCCCAAGGTGACCCCTCTACACCTACCCCTCTCCACACGAAAATACTCCAGTACAACAGCTGAGCAATTCTTGAGCCGACAAAACTGTATTAATCATTCCTCCAGAATTGATACATAATCTATCCGACATGGATTCAGCCGCAGAAAACGCCCAACTAGATTCTGAAACTTTTTTTTTCTGAAAAATATCAATAGAGCGCATTTACTGCAGTCCGAAATATCATTGATTATTGGGATTGAGGAGCATTCTGGCCAACGTTCTCGAGCATCGAAAAAATTGGAATCATCTAAATTTTCGGGAGAAAAAATATTTTTTGAATAAAATGTTGGTCCCAAATTTCTGAATCCAACAGTTTCAGGATCCGTAGTTAATGTTTTGAGCATATAATCTTTCGAAATTTTGGGATTCCCGGCGGTCCATAAAGATTTCTGAGAATTCACATAGTTGATGATTTTTGTAGAATCTGGAAAGTGGAAATTTGAATTTTGTTACAACATTTAAATTTTGTGAATACCTGAAAAATCAGAAGCCCATACAAAAGTGAAGAAAACCAAAAGAAAAAATAGTTTTTGCATTTTGAAGAGCAAATACGGAACTCGTTGAGTCTCTCTTATCAGGAAATTTAACATTTCAAAGTTTCGAAATTTGCATCATATAGTTCAAAATATGATTTTCGATTGGTTCTCAGAAAATTTAAAAACATTAAAAAATCCCGGAATTTAGCAATCCGTGATAATAAGAAAATCCAAAGTTCACCATATGTTATCCCGTATTACCATATGTTATGGTACAATGGTGCGTTAAAAGACTATATGGTACTATAGTGTAGCATTCGGTCCCATGATCCATTGAATCGTGTGGGTACCATAGTATTAATTTCAACGTCATGGTATAAATTCGCTTAACAGTGCACCATAACCGCACCTTATGATACCACAATAACACATTGACAATATGGTAACATAGTACACGGTATGGCACCATGATAGTATGGAATCTTGGCTCACCATATGGTATCATGAATTGAAATTATCGGTTGGCACGTTGTTTCCCAAAGATGCCATAGTACCATGCCAAACTATATGGTTCAATGTCATGATACCAGGTTGATAGTCCACCATAACCATATTTCATGGTACCATAACAATATGTTTCAAACAATTCAGAAAACTCCTTAAACTTCAAAAGTTTGAGGAATCCAGAATTCCAAAAGATGTAGAATTATGGATTTTTTCTAAAATTTCACCTTCTAAATTTTCACAGACTAAACAACACACAATTTATTCAAATCATTACATAAATACACGTCGACAAAAATCCCTGACATTTGAAAGAACAAAATTCAATTTAATTGTGACGAGTCAAGTCTGGAATTCCAGCAACAGCGGAGTGCTCGATTCCACACTCATTCAATCCACGGATGATACGGAAATATCCCTTCTCTCCCCAGTTGACGTTCCATGAGTTGGCAACGAGCCAATATGGTGTTCCATTATCCACTCCCCATCCGAGAATCTTGACAGCGTGTCCTCCGAGGGATGCTCCAGAGGTGTGGACGTAGACTCCAGTTGTGTATTGGTAGAAGTCCTCGTAAACTGTGAATGCGACCTCGACTGGTCCGTTCTTGAGAATTTCGGTTTGGATTTGCTCGACCTTCTTTCCAACGGCGTAGGCAGTGGCTCCTGAAATATGGTACCATTAACTCAAGATATTTTGACAGTTATGACATTTTACCGTAACGCATCACCACATGATACTATTGTGAATGATATGGTACCATGGTGCCGTCATTCATGGCATGGTACAAGACATGGTACCATGGTACATTTGATGAAACCATAATATATTTCATGATATCATAAACATCATTATGTACCATAGTAACATAAAGTATGTATCGATTTACTATAGCTCACAATACTGTACAATGGTACAAAACTTTATGGAGTCATGGTACCATGGTATCGAACTTACCGAAATGCTTATCCTGAAGATATGGAGTTGGGTAGGTGTTGTTGGATGTGCAAGCCTCGACACACTTTGGAGTTGGCTCAGTATCATCTGGGCACTTTGGCCAAGTGACTCCGTTGACGGTCTGTCCGCATGGGGCAATCGAGTATGGCTTGCATCCGAATTGAGACTCGTAGGATCCTCCGGTGACGAGTCCGTGCTTGACCCACCATTTCCATGCTTGGATTGGGTATCCTCCTTCGCATCTGGAAATTTTTGGAATTTGATCAAGTGCTGCCTAAGTTTTGTTCAATTTTGGCTAAATCATGGTCCAGTAATGGTAAAGCTATGGGCAAGTGGTTGCCCAAGGTTGGCCCAAGGCTTGATCAAGATATGCCCAAGACTTGCCCACCTCTTGCCCAACCCCCAAAAACACCTCAAATCACTCACCCATTTCCACAGCTCAAAAGTCCAGTACAGCAAGACAAAAGATCTTGAGAGGAGAGAAGAGTGTTAACAGCTCCATTGGAAGCAATGCAAGTACGATCAGAAATGGCTTCAGCAGCAGCGAATGCCCAGCAAGATCCACAATCCGATTGATCTCTGATATTATTGATTGAAACACACGATGGCCATTGATCACGAGCATCGAAATGATCCGGAATGGCATCGAAGACCTCGGTGGCGACGATGTCCTCATCTTTGTGGGGAACCAAGTACTTGACATCCATCAGCTTCTTTGTGATCTTCTCCTTTGGGATTACTTGATGTCCGGCGGTCCATAGTTTTTGAGCAGAGTTCACATAATCGATAAGAGCTTGTCCGGTAAGCACTGGAGCCTCACGATGGTTGGGCAGGACTACGGCATGGGCAGAAACTGCTAGAAGGAGGAGAGCAGAGAGTTTGAGCATTTTTGAGAATGGGGAATTCTGATTCTTCTCTCTCCTAATGCGGTATTTAAACATTTTTCAATTTGTTATCTTATCAGTGTGTCCGGGAATCTGATTCAAATGAATTATGTGTGAGTATGTGACGTAAATCTACTATCACTTTTGAAATTAAGAGCCGAATAGATCATTGATGCGAAAATCTGTAATTTTTTAACTGATAAGAGGGGTTTTGAGAAAAAGGAGAAAGTTCAATGTGATCAGAAAACTATTTTTGGATTCCTGGGATTCTGAGATTCTGAAATTCTGAAATTCTGAAATTCTGACATTTTGAGATTCTGAGATTCTGAAATTCTGAGATTCTGAGATTCTGAGATTCTGAGATTCTGAATTTCTGAATTTCTGAATTTCTGAATTTCTGAATTTCTGAATTTCTGAATTTCTGAATTTCTGAATTTCTGAATTTCTGAATTTCTGAATTTCTGAATTTCTGAATTTCTGAATTTCTGAATTTCTGAATTTCTGAATTTCTGAATTTCTGAATTTCTGAATTTCTGAATTTCTGAATTTCTGAATTTTTTCAGAAAATCAGAAATTCAAAACTTCAGAAATTCAGAAATTCCAGGAAATCGAAAATCAAAAATTCCAAAAAGTCTAAAAGGTCAAGAATTCAAAAAATGAAAAACTTCCTTCCAATGTTTTCCGGAAATGATAATTTCCAATTACTCACCTGAAGTGAAATCAAAATCAAACAAACCTTAATAAAATTTTTGAGTGGGTGTGAGGGGAAAATAAATAATAAACTGTACCGAATATTTTTGATAACTCAAAATATTTTTTAGTGATAAAAATTAAAATAAAAGTGATAAAGGAACTACCAAAACAAAATCAAAGTGAGAATTTTTCTATACTATATTATTAAGCATTCTTCAAACTTTGATTTTTCAAAAACATTTTGAGATTTCAAAAACACTTCCCAAAAATGGAATATCTAATACTATTCTTTGCCTATTTTTCAACTACAGTACTCGCTTCAAATCTCCACCAACTTTTGGATTTTCATGAAATCAACCATATCAATTCGATTCAAAGCTTATGGACCGCTGGTCCTTCGAAGTTTGCATTCCAGAAATTCCAAAGACGTTTAATGAGATCTGAACATGTGAAATCCCATAAATCCGAGGATATTTTGGACCGGAAAGTTCTAGAAACAATTCCAGAGAGCTATGACGTCAGAGATCATTGGTCCAAATGTATTTCAGTCGATAATATTCGGGATCAATCGGATTGTGGATCTTGTTGGGCGGTTGCTGCGGCTGAGACTATTTCTGATAGATTGTGTATTGCCTCCAATGGAAGTATCAATACTTTTGTATCAGCGGAGGACCTGCTGTCGTGTTGTACATCTTGTGGAGACGGGTGAGTTGGATCATGGTACATCGAGTACTATGGTACCTTAGTATAGGTTTTTAGTAGTTATGCTATGCTCCATTACACTACATAATGTACCATTACGTACCATATCTTCTAACCCCATATTACGTACCATGTTACCACAGTGTTCATCATGGCAGTACAGTAAAGAGTTATGTACCACCGCACCACATAATGACCCTTTAAAACTTATCGCGTACCTTGGCACCATAACGGGTAGCATTGTTAAAAGATACGCATCATGGTACCATGAAATCGTGAACTGTTTTGTACCATGACACCACATTGTGTGCCGTTATACCACATTGTGCACCATGCTACCATAAAGTTTAGTGTGGCTTTATCGTAGATAGCTACGCACCATGGTACCATGACACTATATCATATTCCATCACGCTATGGTGTACCATGGTACCGTAATGTTTATTATGGCGATATCGTGCATAGCTACGCTTTATGGTACTATGACATTGTTCGCTGTTTTGTACCATGACACCATATCGCGTACCATGGTACTATGGTACCCAAATATTTTGAATTTCTCATTTTTCCTTCTCCAGATGCGACGGTGGCTACCCACTCCAAGCGTGGAGGTATTGGGTCAAACAAGGTCTTGTCTCCGGAGGATCCTATGAGTCTCAATATGGCTGTAAGCCATACTCCATTGCTCCATGCGGACAGACCGTCAACGGTGTCACTTGGCCAAAGTGTCCAGCACAGGAGGAAGCGACACCAGAATGTGCCAGCCATTGTACATCAAAAAGTTCATATTCGGTAGCATATGAGAAGGACAAACATTATGGTGAGTAAAGCAACATGGAATCATCATGGTACCATAAAGTAGACATGGTATGGTTATGGTGCAACGTTATGTACCATGGTACCACACGGTGTATAGTAGACATCATGACATGTTTAATGGGTCCAGAGCGTATACAAGTTATGTCATCTATCGTTTTCTGGTTTCCATAATATCGTTGACAGCGCTATATTATGTTATGGTACTACACCATTGTACCATTTTATCATAAAATTAAAACATGTTACGTACTATGGTACCATACCATTGTACCATTTCGTGCACTCTGGTATCACAGTGCGCAGAATTATTTTATTGTACATATTCATTGTACCCATAACCTCAATGTTTAATGGTATCATGGTACCATATCGGTACTATAGCGCCCATAATGGTACCATTTACCCCATAATCCTAGCCAATTTCCAGGTCTTTCCGCCTACCCAGTTGGCCGCAAAGAAGCTCAAATTCAAACGGAAATTCTCCAACATGGACCAGTGGAAGCTGGATTTTTGGTTTATTCCGATTTCTACAGATACAAATCCGGCATTTATACCCATGTCAGCGGTCAGGAACTCGGTGGACACGCTGTAAAAATTCTCGGATGGGGCGTGGAAAATGGTACCAAATATTGGCTGGTCGCCAATTCATGGAACATCAATTGGGGCGAAAAAGGATATTTTCGAATTTTAAGAGGTCGAAATGAGTGTGGAATCGAGAGTGCCGTGGTGGCAGGAATTCCGGATTTGACAAGAAATTATTGATTATTTATTGATTGCAAATATTTTTTGATAAAGTATTTATTAATCACAAAAGAAGCATCAGAGGGGTTCTTACAGCAGCAGCTATGCAGTTTATCAGGAACCAATATATACATTTAAACTGAAATTTTTTGGGGTGGGATAAAAAGAAAAAAAAGAGAAATTTGTGAAAAAAATGGACAGAGGGATATGAAAAGGAAAAAAAAGTTTGTGATTTTTTTCACCAAACTGGTCCACCGAATCCAGAAGAATACATGTGGTTGTATCCACCGAAGTGATGGTATTTGTTGGGTCCGATGAATGAGCGAGAAGATTGTGTATGACCGAATGGGAATGGGTTGGCGAGGAATCTGGAAAATTAAATTTCAGAATTTTTTGAAAAACATTTTTTGGTTTTTTTTTGACTAAAACTTTTTTTTAATAGTTGAAATTTATAAAAAATGGAAAAAATGAAAATGTTGATTTCAAAAGGTTTTAACATTGATACTCACCTCCAGAGCATTCCATTGTGTGGTGGCATTCCGTAGAGAATGCTGTTCGAGTAGCCACCATATGGGTATCCCTTGTAGGACGGGTACTGAAAAATTGAAATATTTTTTCAACTCATGTTGATTGTTCTTGTTTTTAGCTTCAAAATGAACGTTAAACCACTTTAAACGGACCATTTTGACCTTAGATACAGCGCTTCAAAGCTTGGAGGTGAGAGACGCAGACACTCTCGTTTCTCTGCGCTCTCGCAAATTTTAAACGCTCATAACTTGTTTCAAAATTGAGCTAGAGAGTTGATTTTAAGCTAGTTTTGTAGGAAATTTTAAGACAATCATGCTGCTTTATGATTTCTTGGAATTCGGAGAAAAAATTCAAAAAAATGGTGTTTTCGGATTTGTCAAAATTTTCGAATTTCTTTTTGTGAATGTTAAATTTTCTGATTTTCCTAGTTTCCTCCTTCAAAATGCACTGAACATCAGCCAAATCCGACAGTTTTGAGCTGCGATACAGTCATTTGAAGTCTCTGCACTCTCGTCAATTTCAAAGACGCGTAACTCGCTTCGAAATTGAGCCAGAAGATTGATTTTTGGATAGTTTTGTAGGCAATTTCAGAACGATCATCTCGATATTAAATTCGATTTGAAATTTGGAAAAAAAATTGGATTAGATTTTTTGGAAAATTCGAAAAACAAAATCTTTCTTTTTTTTTTTTGAATATTTTTGAACAAAAATTTGCATTCTTCCACTTTTTCTCAGTATCCCTTTTTGCTCTATCTATTCTAAGCACGTAAAGTGCAAAATCATGTGTTTCGTACGTCTATTTATCCATTAATAATTAATCCAGCCACCTCCCTGTTACGTATAATCCCATCTTTTTAGGAATATTCCGGAAGTCTTTAGACCCCCCTTTCATCTCCCTATTTCCATGTATAAAAACACTTAATCCTCCTTTTCATACTCTAAATTTTCAGAATGAGAATTCGAAGAATAAAAGGATGACGTAAAAAAGAAAACTGAAAAAATAGAGTGGAAAATTGGTTATTCTCAATGGTTGATCGAGTTTTCAAAAGTGTGGGGCCGAATTCCCAAAAACAAGCAAATAATTCGTTGGAATCATTAATTTTGTAAAACTTTGGACGCATTTTGTGCATAATTAGTTAGATTTTGTGATCGATGAGTTTTCGAAAAAACATATTTCAAAAAAAAATTTTTTTTGGAAAAATTCCCGACAACATTTTTAAAATTTAGATTATAGAAATGATTTTATATCAAAATGATTATCTTGAAATTCCCTACAAAACTTGCTAAAAAACAGTTCTCTAGCTCAATTTTAATGCGAGTTATGCGCCTTTAAAACAGGTGTGAGCGCAGAGAAACGATAGTGTCTGCGTCTCTAACCAAACTTTGAAGCGCTGTATCTCAGCTTAAAACTGTCCAAATTGAGAGGTTCAAAATGTATTTTAAAGATAGAAACTTGGATAATCAGAAATTGTTAAATTCCAGACAATAACTTCTTCAACATTTGTGAAAAATTGGAACAATCGAAACATGTTAAATTCCAAAAAACTCTTTACAACTGTTTAAAAAACGGGCAACATATTTTCCTCCAAATTTTTTGAAATTATATATCAGTTTGATCCACTTAAAATTGTCTTCAAAACTAGCCAAAAATCAACGTTCTAGCTCAACTTTAAAGCAAGTTATGCGCCTTTGAATTAGGCGTGAGCGCAGAGAAACGAGAGTGTCTGCGTCTCTCACCTCCTAACTTTAAATGGCTGTATCTCAGCTCGAAATGGTCCGATTTAAAGGATTTTCAATGCATTTTGAAGCGGAAAACTTGGAAAATCAGATTATCACTCACCAATCCCCCATAGCTTCCACTATGGCTGTAGGTAGTCTTGACGGTTTCTCCGATTTGACGCAATGGTGGAGAATGTGTGGTGCCGGTGGTGGTGGACATTGGCGGTGGCGACATGGCACGTGCCATCTGATGTGGATGATGGCGATAGGTGTCTGGAGCGGAATCCATCGACGATGGAGAACGTTGTGGATAGGTGTTGTAGGAGCGCTCCTGGAAAGTTTTGAGGTGGAAATTAGGATTTTTCAGGGTTTTTGATATATACAATTTTGTGTTTTTTTTTGCGATTCTGAGTTTTTAGAACGTTTAAAATTTCTAGAATCAGGATTCTGGATATTCCCATTTTCCTGATTTTTATAGTTAGGATTTTTTAAATTACTGGATTTCTAAATTTCTGAAGTTCTGAATTTTCGAGTTCGTAGATTTCAAAAGTTCGGATTTCAGAATTTCTGTTCTGAGAGTCTTTCTGACCTCTGACCTGAATAAATTTTAAAGATTCATGGAGACCATTTTATGGGATTTTTCCTCATCTTTACACTTTTTGTTTCTAGTATTTTACTTATTTTTCTATTCATTGGTGCTTGAGGTTTTGGGATCCTTTTTTGATGGATCCCAATTTTTTTCACTTTTAATTTTTTTTGTCTGAATTTTAAGAGATAAGGCAGAAAAATGGGAAAAATTGATTAATTGATGGAACTTTTTGAACTTTCAGGGTGGTTTGTCTCGTAATTGGAATTTTTATGGAGGAGAAGAATTTTAGAATGATTAGAATTTCCTAGAAAACTGAACTTTGGGAATCCAAAGTTTGATCAAATTAAAATTTAAAAAAGGATATTTTAATTTTAATTGAAACTTTCAAAATATAAAAATTCTTTAAAACTTCAAGTTTCCGAATTTCGTGCAAGTCTGAAATTCTGAAATTATTAAAACATTCAGAATTCTGAGTTTTTGTGAATTTTGCGAATTTTCTGATTTTCAGGACTTTCGATTTACTTGGATTTCAAAAATTTGACTTTCTAGCTAATTCGGAAATTCCAAAATTCCGAAATTCGGAATTTCAGAATTTCCGAAAATTTTGAATATTTTGAAAACTTCAACTTTTGACTTGTAAAATTTCCAATTTCTCAGCATTTTTGGAAATCTCAAGAATTCCGAATTATATGGAAATTTATTTTTTTCTAATTTTTCGAAATTTTGAACTTTGGAGTTCCTGAATTTTCGAACTATTTTTCTCCGCTTAACAAATTGTTTCTCCGAATTTCCACATTTTTCACATTCTCAGTATCTCCGAAAAAATTCCCAAAAAAAAAAGAAAAAAATCCATCAGCTTTTCTTCCTGGTTTTCCTTTCAAAAAATGTTTCAACACCCCTCAAAAATTGATAAATTACATATATTTCTGGCCTTTTTTTCTTGGTCCATTTTGTGCTTTTTGAGCTCGAGAAGGAAAAATAGAAGAGATTCAGAGAAAAAGTGTTATATTTATGTATGTATGTTTACATACAGATTTGCATTTTCTCTTCTTTTTGGGTCTTTTTTTCCTTGGCGGAAAAAGATGAAACATCTGATTTTAAGAGAGGAAGTCGGAAGCATTTCTCTTGGACACACATCAAAAAGTTTAAACGAAAAATGGAATTTTTTGGTTTGTGGTGAAGAAAAGAAATGGATTTTGGATATAAATATTGGAATTTTCAGAATCAAAGTTAAAAATTAAAAACTTCGCATTCAGAAACTTCTCGAATTTCAGGATAAAGAAAATTCAGATATTCAGAAATTTGTTCAGAATTTAAAATGCTATGAGCTTCGAATGTTGGGTTTTCAAAACTTCAGATCTTCAGAACTTGAAGATGTCAAACTTTCTGAAAATTGAGTTTTCAATCTCAAAATTTCAGAATCTCAAAATTTCAGAATCTCAGAATCTCAGAATCTCAGAATCTCAGAATCTCAGAATCTCAGAATCGATTTTCCAAACTTCTGAAGTTTCAGAACTCCTGAAAGTTCCCAAAAACTGATATTCTAAAATTCTAAAAAATCCTCCGACCCACTTGACCTCCACCCTCGATACATATAAAGTTCCACTTGAAAGCGAAGGTGGTAGACTTGAAAAAATGTGACAGATTAAATTTCCATCAACAAATATTTTTTGAAATTAAAAAGCACAAAGTACATAGGTTTTAAACAATTCAAACTTTCTAAAAAAATTCCGATGTTTTTGAATAATATTTTTGATTTTTTTGCAATTTTTTTTTGTAGTTTTTTTATTGATTCGTATTCAGAGATTTTCCAAAAAAATTCTTTAAATAATTTCAAAAAAAAAAATTCTGAAATTTTTTTTGCTCATTCCCAGTCTACATCATAAATTTCTCCCGAAAAAAACCATTATTCTAATTGCTCAGCGTTCTTTGTCTAGTCCGCAAAAATATTCATTACCTCTCTCCCTTTTTTTTGCTGTCAACATTTTTCCCTTTCCCTCAGAAAAAAGTATTTTGTGACGTAAAATAAATTTGTCAAAATTTGTTTGTTTCAGAAAAATGAGGAAGCACCTGTCCCCCAGTCATTCTACTACATTTAGAGCTGAAACTTTTCCAGAATGTGTCAGGAACATTTTTCTACGCAACAAACGGAAAATTCCAGCTAATTGTTTTCAGTGGACCGCCTGGAAATGGCAGGGAAAATAATTAGCACAAAAAAGGAGGAAAACTAGTTGAACTACAAAAATTCAAAGAAAAAATGAATGAATAATTTCCCGGAGTTCACTTATTCCCAGGAAGTGAAAATTTTGAAATTTCCGAGAAATTTGAAGTTTCAAAGTTTTAGAATTCTAGATTTCGGAAACCATCAACCTTATAATCTCATAATTTCAGAACTTCAGAATCTCAGGATCACAAATACTTAGAATCTCAGAATCTCAGAATCTCAGAATTTCAGAATTTCAGAATTTCAGAATTTCAGAATTTCAGAATTTCAGAATTTCAGAATTTCAGAATTTCAGAATTTCAAAATCTTAGAATCTCAGAAACTCAGATTTTTTGAACATCAGAATTTTAGAACTTTAGAATTTAAGAGTCGCATAATTTCAGAATATCAAAATTTCAGAACTTTTGAATTCCTGATTTTTGAAAATTTTGAAATTTTTCAAACTTTTTGGAACTTTTCTATCTCAGAATCTCAGAATTTCAGAATCTCAGAATCTGGAAATTTCAGTTTTCAGAATTTCAGAACACCCAAAATTTTGATTTTCTGAATGTACGATTTCCCAGGTTTTCGGAATCTCAGAATCACAAAATCTCGGAATTTCAGAATTCAGAATTTCAGAATTTCACTTTTTGAGCTCACCCACGGCTAAAAAAAAATCAAAAATCCAAAAATTCGAATATCGCATGTTTCCAACATTATCACATGACCCGAGTCTCCCACACCCTCAATCTTCATAGGTCAAAACTAACCGGTGGAACAGATTGTGATCTGGCCGGCCGACCGCCACGGGCCGCCTCGGCCATATCGGCCGCGGCGATGACGTGTCCATCGCGAAGAGTTGTGTGCAATTTCAGTTTGTTTTTGGATTGTTGAATAGCTTCACGAACGTCCTTATCGGATTGAACGATGACTTGACGACCGTATTGGTCGATGAAAGCGAGGTCGCCTTCGAAATCCGCGCGGACCTCGTGCACTTTTTTGAGCAGGACCTGGAAATTAAAACTGGCCAATTTGAAACTTTTTGCTGAATTCAATGGTCTAAAAAATATAGCTCTAGATGAAAAATGAAGCAACTTATGGTATTTCTTCTAATAGAAACCAACGCGAACCGTCAACTTCAAGCTCAATTATCTCGATTTCTGTGAAAGATATGGAAAACTGGTCAACTGACAAAATATTGGTGATATCATGATAAATAATTTATCAGTAGGCAAATTTTTGATATCTTTCATAGGAACCGGGATAATTGAGCTCAAAGTATACGATTGGGTGGGTGTCTATTTGAGGACACAGTATGACCATTTTAAGAATTAGGAAACTTTTTCTCGGAATTCCTTGTTATTTTCAATTTGTTATGACTTTTAAAGAATATTTTCCATTCTAAGAAATTCCCAAATGTTCCAAAATGTTCTTTGAAATTATCCATTTCTAGAATTTTCGATTTTTTCTGAGCATGTTGATATTATCATCATTCCAGATTAAATAGGGGATTATCTAGAATTATCTTACTTAGAACGTTTTTAGGATTATCGGTAGAGCGCACTTGCTCAAAAATCCGACGTTCGGGTTTGGGGGTTAGCTCCCCCGCTTTTTTCAATTTTCTAGAATTCCTAAAATCCAAAAACTGGAAAAAAAACTTTCCCACAAAGTCTGAAAACCAAATTTCGGACTTTGCAATTTTTCTGAGAAGAATGTAATCACAAAAATAAGAAAAAAGTTCTGTGAGAAACAATTTAAAAATTTTCCCAGAAAAAATATTTCTCGGAAAATTTTTGATAAGCCTAGATTATAGTTAACCAGATATAAGCATTCACTACAAACTACAAACTACAAACTAAAGACTATAAACTACGCGCTACAAACTAAACTCGATAACCCAGTCAATGAATCCTCTCTATAGTTTTTAGGTAAAAAATTAAAAATTGTATTTTTTTTGAAAAAAAATTTCAAGCTCACATCATACAAATCGGCGTACTCCATCTCGTAATCCGAAAATCGGAGAGCATATTTCTTGCCAAAATGGTTCCATTTGACTTTGCGACCACCGGAGAACATGTTGAAACTGAAAAAATTAAGATTTTTATTAAAAAATTCAATAATTCATAAAAATGAATTTTTTATAGGAAATTTTGTATAAAAACCAAATTGTTAAGACCCATGAGTGTGCTATTGATGCCCCCCTTCCCTCCTAACCTCTCAAAAGCGGGCGGAGCTTCATCGGGGACTAGACTCCGCCCACTTTTCTCTTGGGGGTGGAAAAGAGAAGAGGAAGGATGATGAAAAAGAAGATATGAACTTATGGCACATGAGTTTTTTTTGGGAGGTGACAATAGAAGTGAAAACTCCATGAAATTTGCTTTCAGAGAAAACAAGGAATTTTTCAGAATACTTTTTTCTGGAAATTTCTATCAAAACAAGTAGTAGAAAATGGATAGGCCTACCGGTGGAGAAAAGTATCAAATATCTTTTTTTTTGGATATAAAGAATTTTGGGTATTTTTTCTGGTAATAAGGAAATGGAAAACAGGGAAGAGTGTGTTTTTAAAGAGTAAACGAAAACAAGAGGAGCATAACAGATAGGGCGACGCCCTGGGAGAGTATAGAAATTTTCCATTTGTCTGAAAACGACATTTTTCAGATTGTCAAAATTTTTCAATATGAAATGCACTTTGGAAGACTGAAAACGGATTATTCTGAGCGGAGATACAGCCGCTTGAAGGAGGCGAGAGACGCAGACACTCTCGTTTCTCTGCGCTCTCGCAAATTTCAAAGGCGCATAACTCGCTTCAAGATTGAGCTGGAAAGTTGATTTTTAGCTAGTTTTGTACGAAATTTTAAAGCAATCATGCTGATTTATAACTTCTAGGAATTCAGAGAGAAATTCAGAAAAAGTGTTAAGCTAGAAAGTTGAGTTTTAGCTGGTTTTGAAAGAAATGGCAATCTGATATCCTTGAAATTTGAAAAACTTTATTAGATGTTTCGAAAACCTCGAGAAAACAAAACTTGCATTTTTTTTGAAAAATAGGTCATGGGGATTATGCTGATGAAAGATTTTAGGAATAGGAAAAATATATTGTTGTCTAATTTTTCAAATTTTTTGAACACTAATTGTTTGGAATTCGAAGTTTTTGATGTTCCCAGTTTTGCCCTCCAGAATTCGGTAAGAACCATTTTAATACGACAGTTTTCAACTGAGATAGAGTCATTTGAAGTTTGAAGGTTAGAGACACAGACACTCTTGTTTCTCTGCACTCTCGCCAATTTTAAAGGCACGTAACTCGCTTCTAAATTGAGATAAGGAAGTGATTTTCATCCAGCTTTGAAGAAGATTTAAAAACGATCATACTGATAAAAATTTCTAGAGATTCGGAAAAATAGTGTTGCCCGAGGTTTCCAATTTTTGCAAAGGATGTTTTCGAATTTGAAAAATTCTGAATTCTCAAGGTTTTTTTTTGTTCAATATGCGCTAGAAATCACTCAAAACGGATAATTTTGAGCTGAGATACATCGCTTCAAAGTTGGGAGGTAAGAGACGCAGACACTCTCGCTTCTCTGCACTCTCGCAAATTTCAAAGGCGCATAACTCGCTTCAAAATGTAGCTTGAGAAGTCTTTTTTGGCTAGTTTGATAGTAAATTTTAAGACAATTAATTGGATTTCTTGAAAACTAAATTTCTTGAAAACAAATTTTGTCGGAAAATGTTCTTTAAAAAAAGTAAAATTTGTTCTCATGCTATTTCGAGAATTCCGGCCCACACATTTTTGGTCTTTTTAACAAAATTAATTATTTATGCTGAGGTTTTTTCTGTTGTTTTCACAAATCTGTTCCCCAACTTTTATTATGGGTTTTTCAGCATTTTTTCATTATTTTGTGAGGCTTCTCAGGGCTAGATTTGTGTTTTGAGCCGCCCAAAAAATAATATCGGAGCCGTCAGATTATCCGAAAATAAACGAAAAATTGTCTACTTTTTTGAGTCTACGGAGGAGGAAAAATACGAGAAAAATTCGTAGGGATATGACGAGAGTCTGAAGCCCTTTCGAAAATTATAATTTTAAACAGAAAGTCTAAAATTCAAGAAATTCCAGAAATATCAGAAAAATGAAAAAGTTGGAAAAAATTTGAAAATCTTCAAAATTTTCAAAAATCGGAAATTCAAAATTTCTGAAATTCTAAGATTCTGAACGTCTAAAATTCGGAGATTCTGAGATTTCGAGATTCTGAATAAAATTCCGAAAATTTAGTAATACAACTGTTTTCCAAAATTTAGAATTCTGGAAATTTCGAAATTCTTAAAAACTTTTTTGGATGACGTGCGGAGAGTAAAAGTTCTAAAAAATTTATTGTGTGATGAAAATTGGAATTTTCAATTTTTTTGAGTTTGTTTTGTGTTTTTTTAATACTTTGGGAATTCTTAAACTTTTCTGAATTGTACATAACATTGAAAAAAAAAAGATTTTTCTAGTTTTGGGAATAATGAAAGTTTCAGAATTCAAAACTCCAAAACAACTTGATTTTTTGATTTTCAGAAATCTCCAATTCTAAATTGCTGAAATTCCGGGGTCTGAATTCTAAAGAAGTTCACATTTTCGAACTTTGGAGATTTTCAATTCAATAACTGAAATTTTGCATAATACGTTACATCAAATTCCTCTTCGACCCCAATCAAAATTCATCTGGTCCATCATAACATCCATGTACTTTTATCAATATTCTCATCATTCTTCATTGCTCAGCCTTATTCAAAAATGAATACAGTGCACTTTTCTCTCCTGGGAGATGAATAGAAAAACGATTACGCATCAAACAATTTCTGTTGTCCCGGAAAAAAGAAATTCCACAAAGTCAGAAATTTCGATTTTCGTCATCACAAGTACATTTGTATTCTACTACTAGAAATATCCTCATTTCGAATTCCCAAAAACACACAAAAACTTTTTTAGAACTTTTCCTCCTCCGCACGTCATCTAAAAACTCATTCCGGAAATTCGAGAATTTCCAGAATTTCACGTTTTTCAGAAAAAGATGGATCAAAAATTGTCGACGATTTTCACTTATAAAATATTTATTCATAATTTATAGACAAACTTTGCACTCAATCCATCAATTTTAGCTTCTGCGCTCTGCCCCCATGAAATAGGGCAAATCATTTATTTTTTCCGTTTTATTGGGAGAAATAAATAATTTATTTGTACTGATGTGCAGCGAAAAATTTTTGGCCTTATTCAGTCCTCAATTTTCCGCTTGGCCAGTCTCAAATAGAGCCCTAAGGACCCCCCGAGAAAGAATTTGTGTTGAGTTCAAGAATCGTCTTCGAATTTTTTTTTCTGATGCGTAATTTTTTTTTCTATTCATCCCCCAGGGGAGAAAAGGGCACTGTATGAAGTTTTGAACTATCTGAGCAATGAAAAACGATGAGAAATTTGATAAAAGTACACGGATGCTATGATGGACTAGATGAATTTTGATTGGGTTCCAATGAGAGTTATATGTGACGCAATATGAGAGATTTGAGCTTTTCAAGAATTCAGAATCCTGAATTTCTGAAATTTCAGAATTGGACAATTCTAAATTTAGGGGTTTTTGAATTTTATCAATTTCTAGATTACTGAATATTGAAAGTTTTAATACCTTAAATTCTTAAAATTTGAGATTTTCTGAAACATTTTCTGAAAGTTAAAATTCTGAAACTTCTGAAATTTCCTTTATTTGAAACACTTTCTGAATTTTTAGAAACTTCAAAATTTCGGAGATTTTAACTTTTTAAAACTGCGAAATTAAAAATTCAAAAATTCTGCTTTTTAGGGTTTCTGAATTTTATATATATATAATGATTTGGGTTTTGTTGAGAACACTGAATCTAGTTTAAAAATGTGAATCTCACAATCAGAAGTTCAATATTTCTGAACTTTCGAACTACATTATTTTTCTGGATTAGGAGATTATTTTTTCAGATTAATCCCATAGCACAATTTGTATATTGTGCTATAAATCCGGTCAGAATTCAACGTCAGAAACTACATGACATTTTTGAAAAAGTGAGCTCAAAATTTTCAGGGGAAAACTGAATTTAACAAAAAATTCAGGATTTTGAACACTATTTTTTTCAATTTTTTAAAATTCTAGAGGAACTTCGGTTTTCAGATTTTTAATGATTCAAAAAAAAGTGATATTATTACTACCAAATCCATCAAAAAATGTGTAAGAATGATTTTCACCCATTTTTTTACTCCTCGATCTCTGACGAAATTTCATACTCCCGAAAATCCAATTTCCGCAATTTACGCTATTCATTTCTGCAACATTTTTTTCTGCACATGATACGTATAAAATTTAGAGCAAAAAGAAATATTTTCTATATCATTCAAAAAAAAAAATTTTCCCACATAGATCAAAAGCTAGTAATGTTATGGAAAAGGAAACTTTTTTGATGGTAAATTTTTCCGGAAGTTTCTGGATCAAAGTTTACAGATTCAGGTGAAGAATTAGGCAGGAAATACGACATTTTTATAGAAATTTCTGGACTTTTGGTAAACTGAAAAGAATGTTTTTGATCCGGGAAGAAATATTTCCGATTAGACTTTTTTTGAAATCCCAAAATTATAAAATTTGAGAAAATATCAGAATCTCAGAATCTCAGGATTTCAGAACATTATAGTTTCAAAATTTTTCGAAATAAATTCTTCTTTCAGATTTCCCGGATCTGGAAATTCCTGAATTCTGAAAACTCTGAACAAACTTTTTTTTTGATTTTCTTAGAAATCATAAATCTCAACCCTCAAAAATAAATGTCAAAACACAAAAATTACGATTTCCTCTGAAAATTGGATTTTTTCAAATTAGATTTTTTTTGATAATAGGCTAATTCCAGAAAATTCCGAACAATAAAATTGGTGTGTCATAATTTTTTTTTTGTTTTCGAAAACTCCAAAAATGAATTTCAGCTTGTGACGTCTGAAAATACAAACCAGTAAAAATTATCAATGGGAGAATTTTTTTTCAGAATTCTTTTGAAAATTAGGGGAAGTATTTTTCCAGAATTTTCAGAAAAAAAATATT